AAAAAATAACCAGTATTATTTTTTTTTTTCATTTTTCAGTTTTGTAAGATTACCCATAACCAATATAGGTAATGTATCGCACTTATTCGATAAAAATCATATTAATGATTAATGCTTTTCTTTTCTTATTAATGATTTTCTGAAAAGATCTTACCAAAAAACCTTTTCTCTATTTCTCTCAAAGACATGAATTCTTATGGAAATGCCGTTAATATGAATTTTTCGAATAAGTGCATATACCGGATGCGTCTCAAAGGTAGCTCACATCTATAACTCTTTATTTTTTCAAATAAAAAACCGATGTTTGGTATGTTAGTATAAGACATAAATTAGAATTGATTGACTGACGTATTAAATTCTTTTCGATCACTTCCTGTTTCACCCGAAATGACTACAACTTTTTATTTTTAAATGGCACCCCCGGTATTTTTTTACTTTATTCGATAGAAAATGACACTCTGAATAGAATGACATATCATATGTCAACTTTTGAACGAGGGTGGCTCATTAGCATATTTGGAAAAAGGATTTTTTCGAATAATTTGGTACCACACACTTGGTATTTCGAGTCAAATTGTCGTAATGAATCGCATGTTGCAATTTGAAATAAACCATATTCGAAAATGTCAAAAGTTGACATATGATAGGTCTTTTTATTTAGAGTGTCATTTTCTATCGAATAAAGTAAAAAAATGACCGAAAACAATTGAATACGTCAAACAGTCCTAATTTACGTCATATACTAACATACCATATAACATCGATTTTTTATTTGAAAAAATAAAAAAGTTATAGGGGTGAGCCACTTTTGAGAGGCATCCGGTATTGTTGGTATACATATACTATGATTTATGTATCATATCTTTGGTTTTGAAACCTTGGAAGCTGTAAAAAATCAGGCAAGTTAAACATCGTCTTGTCGAACAAGAAAAATAACAATAATAATAATATGAAATTTATTTTGCTACATCTGTTCAAAGGGTCATAAAAAATAAAAATAAAATCTAAAATATTCCCTTTTTTCCAAAAATTTGCGGAAGTACTGGTAATTTTTAAACTTAAGTGGCATTTTGAACAGCATCAGCATCATTAAAATGGAAAACTATAATTTTAGTATGTTTATTGTGTATTTTTTGTTTAGTAGTTCTTAACGATTTGAAAATTGTCCATCCTGTATGTTCTGCAATGAAATATCTGAACAAACCTAATATTAGTGATAATCTAATAAATGTAAATAATAAAAAATAATATTCACTTTGTTCAAGGTTAACTAATAAACATATGCGACGTTTTATCAGAAAATAAGTCATTTTGCACTAGTATGTCGATCATAACCTTGTAAGCACCTCCTCTGCCATCTTCGATTGAGAATTGTTTAAGATTTTTTTTGCATATGTATACTTAGACGGCCAAGGTTGAGTAGGATAGAACAAATAGTGGTTCTTTTACTAATTAAACTTGGTGCTACTACTATACCTAGCGAAATGGTTTGAAAAAATATTGGTTTTCATGTGTGTCGAAGGTCGTTTTCATTTTAAGCTTTGGCTGTGTCGTACTAACACAAATACTGTCATATACCGTATGATCGTAAACAAATATTATTAGGTATGCCATGTGAATTGTGTTTTAATTTTAACTCTCCTATAAATAATTTCTTTACAATCATATAGTAAGTTAAGCGGGGTCCACACGCAACGACTTTTCCTATTATTTGCTTGCGTCGACAACGTAACAGACCGAGTTGTGTCCACATTACAACGACTTGTCGTTCAGTCTTTTGAAACACTGTTGTGGTTAGTTTTTCCTATGTCTTTAAAGTTAAAAAAGGCAAGTTAAACGTCTCTACACCAGAATTTCTTGGGGTGTCGTTAAGAAAATTAAGTTAATTAAAATACCATAGAGAGTGTTTAATAATAAATATATTCATCCCAGCACCCGAACGAGTAAATTTATTATGTTTCGATAATTCTGTTCTGTAAACAGTTCTAAGTGATTTTTTTTTGTTACCGTATCCCTAGTCGCTTCAGGGTAAACCTCCTTGAATTTTTCAATAATAATCTCGTAGGCCTGATTTTTATTCCCCTTTTGATTAATTAGGCGAATTAAATTCAAGCAAGGAAAACTCTTGTACATTTTAATGAACTCACTAAGAAGCTCATGTGAACCTTGCTGTAGGTCAGGTATTTGATTGGCTGATTAAAATTAAAATAAAAGCACAAAAAAATCGTTGTAAGCGTCCACACACAAATGACTTTTCTGTGCAAACCGACGAAATTTATGCCCAGGAGCTACAATATAACTCAGTCTTGGGACTTTGTGCAGTTCTAAAATTTGTTCAAACTTGCTGTTCAAACGCTGCGTTTTTTCAGCGCAAGCAAACTGCACAATAAGTCGTTGCGTCTGGTCCGCGCTTTAGGTAAAAAGCTATATTATTTATATTAATCTGAGTGGAATTGATTAAAAATATATTTTCTTTAATTAATTATTAATATTATACATTATCTTTTTATTGTTGTACTAATACTAAGAGTTGATCCCTAGATTTTCTTTAATATATTAAACCCTGTTAATCCCATACTTTCAACCCTTACTTTCATAAGGGTTTGTCAAAAAGTTTTACAATATAATTAAACAACAATAATACTGAAAATGTGCGCGAGATTTTATTTACAATATTATCTTTTTGTAGAAATAATTCCGCGGCTTATTTATACAGAAAGTATTAATATTTATTTTGACGCGCACTCTTGAACACTTAAATTGTTTATATATAGGCAACATTAACACATTTATTAATCTATATTATTTCTATGAAAACAAAGGAGAATATTAACAAATTTATGAAAAGAAGCATTCCTTCGTGGACTTTTTCAAGAAAAAAAAAGTTCTTAGAAATCTATCTTTCCAAAGAGGGTTTTGTGTTCTAGATAATGTTTATTTATTCTGTTCTAATCTATAGAGCGTTAAAAAGCCGAAAGGCTCTTGTGAAAAGCCCACTTCTGTTTGTTTATAGATAAAATCATTTTGGTAGTAAAGCGTCAGCTAACCGGCCAGTCTCTGGCCCGGCAGGCAGAAACAAAAGTTTTACAATTTTGTCAAATTTACAGAACCACTCGAAAACCCAAGTTTTATTGCCTCTATAATTAAAAACATAAAGAGACCTAAACGTCTGTTTTCTATTTGATTAGGGGTTTGCTAAAAATGACACCATTTGATACGCAAACAAAGATTTTTTCGTCTCTGTCTCACCCTCTTCTTATACAAACAGATCAACCACTCTAAAGTCCCTCACACACTTTTCGGTATTTTGCCCGGTTTTTCTGGACTGTTCAGTTAAAAACGTTGGTGTATGAGTGTGTTTGGTCCAGGATTTGGCCTTTCTTTCACATATATGGAAAATTTAATTTGCGGAATATCATACAGGGAAAAGAAAATATAGACTCGGACACACAAGAAAAGTGTAAAAAAGAAAATTGACTCTGTTTTCAGTTGAGTAAAATGAGACAAGGTGTGGGGTTGCTTGACCGTGCTTTCTACTCGCGCGTTTTTAGCTGAGCGGTTAAAACCAAGCAAAATAAGTGTATGTGGGCCTTAAGACACGCTTTTCTAATAATTCTGAAATAATCATAATAACACGAGTTTCTACCCTAACCATTTTTTTGATTATTGCAAGTAAATCATTTTGAAAATAATGAGACAATCTCATATAATCACTCACGGAGAATAATTAAATAAAATATAATATGAGGAACCATACATTTTTTATAAATCTTATGGGCACAGTATTATCAGGATATTTTGTTCTAATCCGGATAAATTTTGTGCGCCACTGATTAATAGTATACAAATATATATATATATATATATATATATATATATATATATATATATATATATATATATATATATATATATATATATATATATATATATATATATATATATATATATATATATATATATATATATATATATATATATATACAATTAATGTAATAATAAGTAAAGTTAGTAAAGTCAGTTTAAATATTGCGCAATAGTGCAGTATTTAAAATTCTAATTTTAACAATAATTTATACAAATATTTCAGTCTTACAGTGAGCATATATGCACATTAAGTTTTCTTTAAGTCAAAGGTAATTTATTTTGCTCGCAAGTATCTTTGACCATTATATTGGGTACGTCTTAAAAGTGGCTCACCCCTATAACTTTTTTATTGTTTCAGATAAAAAAAACGGGATTTGGTATGTTAGTATATGACATAAATTAAGATTGATTGACGTACGACTCCCTGTTTCACCGGAAATTACTACAACTTTTGATTTTTAAATGGCACCCTCGGTATTTTTTTACTTTATTCGATAGTAATGACACTCTGAATCGAATGACATATCATATGTCAACTTTTGACATATTCGCTCAAAAACAAATTGTATGTTAAATTTCAATCTAGAGTGTCATGGCTATGTTAAAAACACTAATTTTTAATCAAGGAGCCTTGGAAAAATAGATTTGATTGTCTAATGTTTTTAGTATCTAGTCCTGGCCGGTTAAAAGATGCTCAAATCGTATTTTTAATCATATCTCAATTTTTTCAAATGGAACGAAGGTGGCTCATTAGAATATTTGGAAAAAGAATTTTTTTACGAATAATTTGATACCACACACTTGGTATTTCGAGTCAAATTGTCGTTATGAACCGCATGTTACAATTTTAAATAAACCATATGCGAAAATGTCAAAAGTTGACATATGATATGTCATTCTATTCAGAGTGTCATTTTCTATCGAATAAAGTTAAAAAATACCGAGGGTGCGATTTAAAAATCAAAAGTTGTAGTCATTTCCGGCGAAACCGGAAGTGACCGAAAATAATTGAATCCGTCAATCAATCCTAATTTATGTCATATACTAACATACCAAATATCGTTGTTTTATCTGAAAAAATAAAAAAGTTATAGGAGGGAGCCACTTTTGAGACGCACCCGGTATATGCCTAGTATAAATATGATTTAGTATATTTCCAGTAAATATACCTCTATTTTTTCGTATGCCGACAATTATACGACATATTATAATATGCTAAAAAGGAAATGAACATTTTAAGCAATCAGATAGTTTAAGTTAAGCAGTCAAATAGGCTGAATTACCTTTTCAGTTTCTTCAGCGGTTTGCAGTGATTTTTCGATTATTTTTTTAATCGAGTATGTAGTTAGTTGGGTTTTTATACAAATCTACATAAAGCTGTAAAAAATTCGTTCAAATATGCTAAAAGTTGATTTAGTTGCGGACGATCTGCCGGATTGTTTAACCAACAATACGTCATCACGGCATATCTGAAACAAGAGAAAAATATCTAACTTAGTTATTTCAAGGCTGATATTTGTAGAATTAAAAAAATAATCCGCAAATTGACTAGCTAGTTAGAGCAATATCTATGGGAAAATTATATCATAAAACAAAGTGGTTATGCAATGTCTCTCAAATCTTTCTTTCTTTTTATAAATAATAGGTAATTAAAGTCATGATAGTTTAGTTAATATAAATTTAACTTTTTATTGCTACATTCAAACAGAGAAAGTTGTACCTATGTATAATGGTTGAGTAGATTTTTTAAAATCTTCTTGCATTTCTCCAGAAAAAATACTGAGACCCTATTGAATCGATAGCAAATATACAGGGTGTTTCAAAACAAATGCGAAAAACTTTTGGGGGTGATTCCTTGTTTAAAATAAAGGGTAGTTTGCTTCATAAACGTTGGGTCAAAAGTCAACCATTAGGGAGATATCGCGGTACAAAGATGGCGGAAAATTAATGTTTTTATTTTTTATCTTGAAAACAAAAAGAGATAGACTAATGAAATTTTATGGAAGCATTACTGTTATGAAAACACACTTTCTGGTAATTTTTTCACTTTTTTAAAATTAGTGGAAGGGGTTGAAATAAACTACCCCTATCATTCTTGTTAACGAAATTTAAAGAAAAATCTTATCAAACACATGCAAGTGCTTTAATTTGGATAGTTTAGTTTGTTTAGAAACGTTTTCATCTCTTGTGTTTTTTTGATAAAACTCACCGATTTGAAATTAAAAAATAAAATGTAAAGCCTTACATGTCAGGACTAAAAACATTTTTAGATTAAGAATCTAGTGATAATAACGATAATAATAATCATCTAGATAATATCGTATTGCAGTAGAGTAATGTCAAATAAAATAATATTAGGAACATCCTAAAAAGTAACAGCGGCCGACTAGATTTTTTCCTAAAAAATTACAGCAGCCCGCTAGATTCTTTATCAGAAAATGTTTTTTGTCCTGATATGTAATGCTTTACATTTTATTTTTTAATTTCAAATTAAAAAAGATTTTTATTTAAATTTCGTTAACAAGAATGATAGGGGTAGTTTATTTCAACCCCTTCCACTCATTTTAAAAAAGTGAAAAAATTACCAGAAAGTGTGTTTTCATAACAGTAATGCTTCCATAAAATTTTATTAGTCTATCTCTTTTCGTTTTCAAGATAAAAAATAAAAACATTATTTTTCCGCCATCTTTGTACCGCGATATCTCCCTAATGGTTGACTTTTGACCCAACGTTTATGAAGTAAACTACCCTTTATTTTGAACAAGGAATCACCCCCTGAAGTTTTTCGCATTTGTTTTGAAACACCCTGTATATAAGACCTTTAATACAAATTAATTATAATAAATGGATAGCTAAGATTAAAAATTATCCTGCTTCTAGTACCATACTTCTAAGGCCAAAATGTATTTTATTGTTCGTTTTACACATTTGAATCTTTATTTTTCTGTATTTTTTACACACTTTCAAAGGCTTAGTTGTGATATTTTGAAAATACCAATGTTTATAGAGAAAATTTTATGTAGGATAGATGTATAAAGCTTTAGGAGCTTAAATGCTTTAATCACAGAAGAAGTATGTGCTTTAATCATGTGAGAAAATTAATTTTCTGTACTTTGGCTTTGTGAGAAAATTAATTTTATGGACCCTTGTTGTTCAGTGTTTTTTTATGAACATTACAACTACCCCTAGATCAATTACTGTTCTTGAAAGACTACAATGGCTTGTATTTTTTTATTCTACACCTTTTAATTAGTAAATAACAGCAGTTTTAATAAAGTCGGTGACATAACAAAAATCGCAAATTTTCATGATTATATAATGTATAGAAAACTGTCGAAAAAATGTCCATTTTTGTGCTATTTTTTTATGCATTTAATATAGTTAAATCTTCCCATAAATCGAATACTCTATTCGTAGCACCACAATTGTCTATATATTGTCTTATTCTAGGCCTTTTAATTAGTTAATAACAGTAGTTTTATCAAAATCGGTGACTTGACACAACTTCTTGACTTTTTATTTTTGACACAACTTCTTGACTTTTTTTCCATACATATACTATATGTATGGAAAAAAGACGAAAAATTCGCCATTTTCGCTATTTTTTACACATACACTTCTCAAAGGTCTTAGAAAACATAGTAAACGTCGTTGTCAAATTTTGAAAATTACAGGTAATTAATTATGACATTTTTAATAAATAGTATCAAATTTATTAGCAAAGTATTGTTATTATTTATTCTTAAACTTTAATAATAATAATTCTTAATTATTATAATATTTCGTATAGAATAAATGATATTACAATAATCGCGGTAAAATTTTGGAAAGCAGCTGATATAATAACACAGTAACTAAGCCAGTGAAATGTTCCTATAACATTACGGTTTGTAGTACAGCCGAAGACAGAGAGATATTATGTCACGTTTTCTCTTTTGGAGAGCACTTTCGTTTTCATTCTCACATAATATCGACTTGAAAATATGCAAACAATATTAAAATGATTTCAAAATATATTTCATTGTGTGTTGCACTCGCTTTTGCAGCAAGAGGTTAAAATTAACGCTTTTTTTCATAAATTTTTGATGCCAATTAATTTTGTAGATTTTCTCAAATTAGTCAATTAACATTTTAATTTTTGAGAAAATTTGAAACTTTTACAATAATTATATTTCTCAATATTTATTATATCTAGTGATGAGAAAATGTAAGACCAAGGCTAAGACTCCCTTGCTCCTATTTGCAAATCATGCACATTTTTAATAGATTTTTAATAGTGGCCCTTTCAACATAAAAGATCTTTAAATAAAAAATCAATCTTTATTCAAAAAACAATATTTGTTTAATGAAAACTTTTATTTTTTAATACATTACATTCAAAACGAGTAGACCCTTTAAAATGTTATGCAAAAGTCAGGAATACACTATTTGCAATAAATAAAAACAATAATTTGGAATAAATAAATAACTTTTTATATTATTTATTTATTTGAATGATTAAAAACCATGAGCGCCTGAACTAAATACGGCAATATTCTGTATAATTCGACTAAAAAACTTATACGACTGGCAGTAGTTTCAGGAAAATATTTTTTATTATTTTTTCATCCTGTATTATATTGAATCAATATTTTTTAAGATTATTTTTTGAACAATCATTTTGGATAAATCAGTAATTTATTATTTCATATAAACGTAAAAAAATGCAACACCCAAAGAGTTTTGCATGCTTGGTCCTGGTCTTACAGATAAAACGCTAGTCTTGGTATTTGACCAAGATCAAGACCAGTCTCGCCCTAAAATTCAAGAAATTCATCGTTAAATATTGCGGAAACTCGAAAATGTCGATTAATTTTGTAGATTTTCTCAAATTAGTCAAGATCTATTAGAGATGCCAATCAAAAATAAATTTGTTCGTATTTTCGTAATTTTTGGGCAATCTATGTCTGTATAATTTTTTTAATTATAGTATTACAATTACTTTCACTTAATTTCCTATCCTTCAAAAATTATTAGTTTATTTTAGTCCAGGTTTGTTAATACTTACAATTCGTCAGGGCAGCCTATCGGCTGAGTGAGCCTATAACCAGTACGTAAATGTGTGGACATTTCATATGGGTCAATGTCAGCATACGGCTGTTGACACAATGTTGTCAGCTCCCATAAAACTACACCAAAAGACCACTGAAATTTGGAAAAAATATACCTACTATGTGTTATCAATATACTGTACTACATATCTATAATTCCTATCTGTAAAAGGCAAAATTAGTCGATTTTATAAAATACCTATGCTTTTACTATTCTAAAAGAAAATTTCAAGGTAAAATGTAGAATATCATTCAACCGACTACATCGGTTCCCCAAAAGACGTTTTTTTTCCTTTCCAAACCAAATGCAGCCACAATTCTCATACCTTAAGTGAGATGGATGTAAAGAAAAAAATCGAAGGTTTTTACGAGTAAAAAGCATTGTTAGTCCGCGCAAAATATATTAAAAAAAGCGTCTTAATTGTTTCTATAAGCTCAAAGAAGGTCATCATATCAATTACGAAAATTAGGAAATCTCATCTGGTTATTTTTAGATAATATATTTATGATGAAACATCCATTCACTTATTAATATTATCTAAAGGATCTCGGACTTTCAAGGTGTTTATCTAACTTTTAAAAAACCTCTTCCTTTATTTTATACAGGGGAGATTGCACGATGACCTCAAAAGAAAATCATTCTTTTTCCTCATATAAATGATGTTTTATCTCTGAAAGTTTTTTTAACTAATTGATTTTTTTTGTGTGCTATCAAAAAAATGTAGAGTACTTAAGAAGACACTGTTTGATTAAGGGTCATTTTTCAATAGTTTTGTAGGGAATTTCATGCAGATTTAGAATTGTGTATGTTGTATCGCCGACATGATAAAAATGATGAATAAGTTTTTCTCATTTTATTTTACAGAAAAATGTGTTTGAAACTTTTTAAAGAACTCCTTAAAATAAAGCAAGTTGTTTTAATAGCTTCTACGAATTCCTTTTGGAGTTATCAATCCTGTCCTGAATGGAATAACAAACATGGCACCTCAAATACAAATTTTAATGCCAAATTGATGATATTGTTGCCAAATAAAAGTAATTTAAAAAAATGTAATTTTTTTATTGTCATATTGATCTTTACATAAAAAAATAGTTTAGTGGTACTATGGAGGAAATAGTCTACAGGCTATAAAGCCACTTATTTTCTGTACATTTTACAAATAGGCCTGAACATTTATTAAATACTATAAATTGTAAAAAGAAGAATTCCTGCAAGAATAATTATTAAGAACTGTAAATATAAGAAGAATAATTATATTTTATAAAGATTATCGAGAGATAATAATATAATTAAGAGACATAATAAATGAATTAAATATTCTGTTACAAGTGGAAGATAAAAGACTAACTAGGTTATCTCAGAATACTGGGAGAAAATTTCTATTATGTTTTTTCTGTACTTTTGTAACTTTTCATAGAGAACATAACTTAGGATATTTTTGACAGATCTCTGCAGAAGAAAATCAAAATAGATTTGTCATATTATGACATAACTTGTGATTGTTATGTTTGTTTGATTAGGACTGGATTTTTTAAAATTTAGCCTAATTTAGTATTTTTGTATCTCTCATAACTTAAATATCAATTGGTACAAATTATTTAAAATGAACAATTTGCTTCGTTAGGGACTTCTGTAAAAAGTTTCAAATACATTTTTCTGTAAAATAAAATGGGGAAAACTCATTCATCATATGTGAGAAAATTTTTTGATAATGCTTTTGCCATAATCATAAACGAATGTAGAGGTCTTCAAAAAACCTTCTTGCCGTCTTGGTAAAAGAGTTTGTGTATAACTCTTCTTTGTCTCGAGTTTAGTACATGAGAAAGATGTAAAAAATGAACAAGGTGCTATTTGATTCTTTGCAACCAAGTTTATTCACCTTGATAACCTTGAATCATGCCTCATTCACACTTTAAAGCAGACTATAACGGAGGTCAGTCAAATATTTAATTTGCTTTTTTAATTTCCTCTTAGAATGTTAAATTCAGTACGGGTTTTATAGATACGTGGTACGTTCCTTAGCATATTTTGTCTCTCTTTTATAAGAGCTGGGTACAAAAAAATCTTACCACATCAGTTTGGAAAGTCCATTGGTCATAAATAAGGCTTTCCAGAGCCATCCATTTCACGGGTTTGTTTTCTTTGTCCCCCATGCAGAAGTAATCATTAGGGAATAGGTCCCTGGACAAACAGTTGTCTGTTATTTTGATATCGAACTTCTCGCCGACCCTGTAACAGAATCGAAACAAATTACGAATGTTTTTTTCTCTGTGTAGCGAACTACAGCAGACATGACATGGAGTAAATTAAAAATTACTCCTTTAAAACTTCACATTCCCTCTCACTAGGCTGAATGCCAATCGAAGAACATTCTAAAGCCATATAATATGGTGTACGGTGTTTTTAAGGCGCTTGCCACTTTATAACGTGCATATTTTCTAAGAAAATCAGTTTATATTTTATATATGGGCTAATTTCATGCGTGAGAGACGCTACGGGTGAAAAAATGCTTGCATATTTCGCGTTATTATGGTACAGGGTGATCAGAATTATTACGTTATCAAAAAAACATCATAAAATATCTTACACGGCGTTTCTAGCAGCCATATCCTTGTAACAAATATTTTTGCTATGCAGGTACATTAATCCTAAAAGAATTTGTATAGCCATATCTACTAGAACTTGGGTCGATATAGTAGTATTGTCTTTCCTTTGACGACAGTTAATTAAGAACCTAAAATAAGAGCATTTTTTTAAGTCATATATACAGGGTGGTCCGAGGTGTAATCGGGAAACTTGGGCAAAATATTATGCAGAAGCGTAAAATATTCATGTAAATGCACGTCCTCAAAGGATTTCCGGAGATACAGAGTGCATAAGTTTCATTTTTATTTCGGCTTTTTACAGATAATTTCTATATTTGGATGAAAATTCTTTTGACATGGGAAATTGGATTTCGATGTCAGTATGCCTCCTATTTGTAGGGGGGGGGGCACCTACCTGTATTTAAATGTTTTGAAGACTAATAGCTTTTCACTCATAGCTGTATTATACCCCTAGTGAAAGAAAAAATATACATTTCCGCTGTTTTTTTACGCAAAAAATTCTTTTCATAAAAATCGCTACGGGCAACCGTTAAAAAATAAACCTGTTGACTATATAGTTAGTCGACTGAAATGATAAATTTGGAAACATTTTATTTTTTAATTTAATGAAGTATTTTTCTGGAAAAAAATATGATAAAACAGTTTCTTTTGAACCTCTGACACAAAAGCATTTTCAACTAGTGTATAACTAGTGTTTATTTTTTGTCAGTCTTCTTCAATCTTGAGACCTTTTTTGCATAATGAACAGCGAAGTATATTTTTTTTTATTTCAGTAGTGTAATACAGGTACGGACGAAATTATTACTTCAAAACAATAGTTTATCTGCAGAATATGTTGCCAAAGTTTCCAGATTACAATTTGGCCCACCCTGTATATAAATAATCATAATAATAATTATATAGGACCTTTTCAAATTCCCTCTGCTGGCATACGAATAAACCAGCAAAGGTTTGGTGGGATTATCCAAGTTAACACATAACACGGTTAAGACGTTTTTGTGGTCCATCCCGAACATCATGGTACCCTCTGCCAAAAATAGGTTTAAAAGTCGTTTGGAGACGGTATCTGTAAAAATAAAAACGTTTTTATGGCTTCATTGAAAATATGCATATAAAAGCGAGCCCTAACGTCGTGTGTATTTATTACAACCCTGATGGGTGCTAATTCCGTAGAAATTCTTTGACAACTTTTATGGATCTCAAAATGCCATAAAAAGTAGACATGGGAGCCTCGAGGGTAGGGCATAAACCAAAGAAGTTACGATAAAATCAATAGAATGATTGACAGGGTCGCCAGAGCACAAAGGGAGACATTTTTAAATAAAGAAATAAATTAACTAACACATGTATTCTCCGGAAAAAAAAGGTTTAAGAAAAAAATCTCGTGTTTTCTTTTATTGTTAAAAAGTGCTATTTAAATAGGATCGTTTAATATCAATTTAAATTAATTTTATTTAAAAAAAAATTCACAAAAATAGTTTAGATATACAGGGTGAGTCTTAGATAAGTGTAAATATTTTCAGAGTTGGTAGATCTCCTTAAAAGAAACATATTTTCTCTTTACCGTTTTTCAAATAACTCCAAAATAACCAAGTTATTTTACTTTGAAAATTTAAGAAAAAACTGTTTTGGTTAAATATTGAAAACACTGTCTCTTTTCCGGGGTTTCTTTAATTTTTTAGAAAATTCTTTAAATTTAAGTTAAAAATCATAATATGAAGATATTATAATTTTTTATTTACAATTTTTAAAATTTTAGAAAATTTTTTTCAAATAAATCTAAAAGTATCTAATTTTATGGACATGTTTCTGGAGGTCGAGATATACTACCCCTAAAAATATTTGCACTTATTTAAAACTCACCCTGTATAACATAATAGACATGCTTTAACTATTTCTGATTAGTTTTTTCTCTCCAATATAATTATAATTGTTTTTATAATTTTGTTCAGGCCTCACAGAATGATGAAAAAGAAAAAAAAAATCGAATATTATTGGATGGGATATTATAATTTACATAAAATTGCATTTGTCATTTTTTTCCTTATTGTGTAGAATATTAATTAGACGCTTTTCAGGGAAAATACATATTATTAGTAACAATAACGTTCGTAGAAATTAGTACTTAGTCTGTAGGTACATGTTAATTATTTTTAATCGATATTTCTTAATCTATAATTAAACTTTTTCTGCTGCCATCTCATTAAAATAGATTCAACTAAATTTATTGAATGACGTTATTTCTCGGCCATCTATCTATTACACTTCGCATTACCTTTCGTGGTTTTGATGAAAACTGTTTTTTCCTGATACTTTCCAACGCAGACCTTACCAAAGATTCCTTCTTCTTTCACATTGTCGATGGATATAGTTTCGCGGGGTACCGCAAGAGTGCGCAACCTCTTCGTTGGGTCAATCAGTCTTGGATCGTTCACGGAGACCTGTAAAGGAAAATCGAGCACAAATATCGCCAATAAAAACTTTATTTTCCGCCATTTTCACCCGCTCCACGAAAAACTTTTAATAACTCAACTTTTCAAAAATTAAACGTCTAAAGTTTAATAGTATTTGTCGCTGTTAAAGAAGGAAGTTGGCTAAATTGATTTAGTAGGGATATTTATTAAAAAAAAATATGTATATTATAAAATCAGGGAAAATATAAGAATCTTTAAGGTATTTTAAATATTTTTTAATTTCCTGGATATATTTTCAACATATTTTTTAAAGAAAAACACGTTTTATGATCTCATCATGGGCTCTTTTGATTATGTCATATTAGAATTCAATCTTACAACGAAAGTAAAATACATTGACATGTTACTGATAATAGCTTTTGGAGGTGTTATAGAGGAAATGATGTGTCTTCCTACATGAAGGGGAGATATAAGCTCAGCTTTGTCACATAATGAAGTTTTCTTCCTCGGTGTACCTGCAATCTTAACCGAATATAATTTTATATTAAAAAATAATAAACTATACAGGGTGTGTTCCCCAGGGTGATCGGTACTGAAAATATTAGCACTTATTTAAGATACACCCAGTACACAGGGTGTCGCAATATTCCGTGGACATAGAAGTACTACGTATTTTTAGAATCAAAATAAGTTATTCATTGGACACAATTTACCTCTATACAAAAGTGCTTCGTTTATCCGCTAGAGGGCATTAAACTTTAAAAAAGTACACATATTTTTTCAGATATTTTTAGAACCGTTTTTCCGATTTGAATGAGATCTTGGGTGTCTATGTTTTGGTAGGTGCTTCAACATTTGGTTTTCACAAAAATCAAGAAAAAGTATATAATATAATTATACTAAAATTTTTGGTGGGGGTGGTCAAATGTTAGGGCACTTAGCAAAGCATAGACTCCCAAATCTCATACAAATCGGAATAACGGTTCTTAAAATATCTGAAAAAATTTGATTATTTTTTTAAATTTTGATACCCTCTAGCGGACAAACGAAGCACCCTGTATACAGGGTGTTTCAAAAGAGGGTGTCATCTCTCTCTGTGGTCTCCTGTCTGTGGGGAGATTCCTCTCGAAATAAAATTTATCTTTCATATTAACATAGAGTCCGATTCTGCTTTGTTTCGTAGCTATACAACGGGTTAAAGTCCTTTATAAATAATAATATTTACATTTTTTTATAATTTTCTTCCAAGTGCTTTTAGCGATTCGAATGAAATTTTGGGGGTAAAAGTTACTATAAGTGCGACATATTTTAATGCTTAAAAAATATCGACGTATTCACCAGGGGCGTGCATATACCTAGGTTATCACTATAAGCCTAAAACAATATGTACGCCACTGACTTTTCTCTCTTGTTAGCAAAGGCAGTGGCGGATACAGGGGGGGTCCATGGGGCCCGGCCCCCCCCTAAGATCTATAAATTGGGTTAAATATTAGCCTTTTGGATTAAAAATGGCGCACTAATAAGCATATTCTACATTATTTTTTTATTTGGGCCCCCCCTAAAATAAATTTTTGTATCCGCCCCTGAGCAAAGATATGTAGACTTGTAGACCGTTAAATGCTGATTAAAAGTTGTCTCTTGATATTTTGTCGATTACGGTCTCCTTGATGAGATGAACGCAGTTTAATTAATTTGCCTTAATCCAATTCTAATAGCAACCTTTAAAAAATTTAAATGTCATTAACTTGCCAAAATGTAAATAAGTACTGATTGATTGCCCATCAAAAAATATTAAAAAAAAGTTCCTATAAATATGGATGCGGAAATGCACAGTTTTAAAGTTACAGGATGTTAAAACTTTTAAAAAATAGGATTTTTATAATTATCTTAAATACCAGTATTTTATGATAGGCAGTAGCACTGGACATTGTACATGAGTGTTATAAATTTTAATAAAATTTAGTAATAAGTTACACTAAATAAATAATTTATTACGTTTATTTATATTTTAATTTTATTAATTGTGATTAATAAAATTGCGTTTATCTCATGGAGGAGATTCAAATGGACAAAATAACAAGATTTTAATTGCCATTAAATGGCCTACACAATTTTGCTAATAAGAGGAAAAATGTCAGTGGCGTACATGTATTTTTAGAAAAATATTCCAGTGTAACCCATATGCACGTCCCTTGTGAATTTCTCGACAATTTTTAGCATAAAAATATGTGGCACCCGTAGTAACTTTTATCCTCCAAATTTCACTCGAATTGCTAAAAGCACTTGGAAGAAAATTAAAATAAATTTAAAAAAAATGAAGACTTTAATCACTGGCAGGTATGAAACAAAGCAGAATCGGACCCATGTTGATATGAAAAATAATCTATTTTTACCTGAGAAATCTTCCCACGAAAAGCGGTACAGCGGTTTTTTTGGAACACCCTGTATACTGATTTCTAAATGGTTTGTTTTTTCTAAAGCTAAATTGGAAAGAGGAATTAAGTGCAGATGAGCGTAAATATCTGAAAAGAAAACAACGAAAAAAATTAAATATCGCAACATGCTCCGCTTGGTCCAACTCTTTTTTCCAATTAGTCGACGTCTATCAAAGGAAAATTGTTTCTGCGTGGCAAAAACAGATAACTGAAATGAGAAAGCAAGGAAGACAATTGTTGGTAGAGCGACCGACATCGCAAAAGCTATTAATGTCCTTTCGGGGGGCCCTTTAAATATTATCCGTGGCAACAGAGGCTCTTCCTGATTGATTTCACACAAATCTGAAGGGCCGCAGACTCTCTATGCGAAAGCAGATAAGCCGAGCGAGAGGGCGGGGTGGAATTTAATGTCTAAAGTAAATACTATTGCGAAATTCTCCAGGGTTTTAATATGGCAGATTGCTTAGTCATTGCCTGTCTATCCGTTTCTCGCTCTTTAGCTATCCACATTTGATTTACTATGTTCTTAAATAACGAGAGCATTCTCAGTTGCAGTCTTTAAATTTATTTATGTAATAGCTTCTTTTTATATTTATTTAAGCAATTTTTGTATATTATCATCATCATCAGCAATTCCAGCATATTCAACCATTAATTTTAGGGTTGTTTTATATATCATTAACTTTGATTTGTTTTTTTTGCAAATATTTGCAAGAGTGTTGTTTAGGATTTATATCTATCGGAGTCTATAAAATTATTTTTATCGACTTTAATTTTTGTATATACAGGGTGGTCCGAACTGTATTCCGGAAGCTTCGACAACATATTCTGCAGATAAAAATAAGTAAAAAAGTTCTTGTAAATGTATGTCCTAAAATGCTTAGTTCCGGAGATACAAGGTGTAGAAGCTTCATTTTTATTTCGATTTTTTCCAAATAATTTCAGAAATAACGTCAACATTTGGATGAAAATTGGTGTCTGGGAGTTTTTTGACATGAGAAATTTGATTTCGACGTCAATATGGCTCCTACTTGTAGAGGGCGCCACCTATTTATTTTTAACTGGTTTGAAGAGTAATAACTTTTTGTCCGTCCCTGTATAAAACTAGCTAGTTAAAAGATATACATTTACGATATTTTTTACGTAAAAAAGGTCTCTTGGTAAAAATCGCTACAAGTAATGGTTCTCGAGATATTTGGATTAGAAATTACCAATACCTGTCGTCATTGACATAAATTAAACATGTTGACTAATTAGTTATTAGACTAAAATCATAAATTTGCAATGTTTCTGTGCAAAACGTTCAACAGAAATTGTTTTATCATCATTTTTTCTAAGAGAAATTTATGATTATCTAGTTTAAAAAAATAAAAAGTTCCCAAATTTCTCATTTCAGTCAAATAACTATCTACTCAACACGTTTATTTTTAGTCAATAATGACATGTATTGACTATTTCAATTGTAAATATCTTGAGAACGGTTGCTCGTAGCGATTTTTACCGAGAGACATTTTTTACGTAGAAAATCACGGAAATGTATATTTTTTCACTCAGTAGTTTTATACTGGTACGGACAAAAAGTTATTACTCTTCAAAACAGTTCAAAACACATGTAGGTGGCGCCCGCTACAAACAGGTGTCATTTTGACATTAAAATCAAATTTCTCATGTGAAAAAACTCCCAGACACCAATTTTCATCCAAATATTGAGGTTACTTCAGAAATTATTTGGAAAAAATCGAAATAAAAATGAAACTTCTACACCCTGTATCTCCGAAACTAGGCATTTTAGGACATACATTTATATAAACTTTTTTACTTATTTTTATCAGTAAAATATGCTGCCGAAGTTTCCGGAATACAGTTCGGACCACCCTGTATAGAAAATAAAATGACAATAGATACTTCTACTTACTTTGAAAGCATAATTTTATCAGCTGTCCTATAACAGACCAACGCGTTGTTAAAATTCGTATGTACCTGGAAAGTCCATTTGAACAATGCACTATGTCACTGCCACATTTATGACAATAACTGTTACACTGGGAGTTTTAATGTATATGAAAGGAATAAATAGTAAAACATGTGAATAGGCAAAGTTTGGTTGCACACACGATAACGTTGGCCGTATAACAAAAGTTCCTGCTCTAGGTTTAGTTTTTCCTTTCTTTTTTGTAAAATTATACGGCGTGATAGCAGATAAAAATATTTTAGTTATTCTTTCTGACGTACTTCGGTCTTAAATAAGACTAGAAAACATTTTGTGTGTCATTTCTTCATTATTTCTTCTTGTACATCCTCGGGTGTTTTATCACCAAGTTTTGGAATAAAAACTCCTGGATAAAATGGCAGTACTACTAGAAGCCATCCTTGTCTTCATATGCTGATAGAACATTTCTCCTCTAGAAAGCTAAAGAGGTGAAGAAGACCTTCACCTCTTTAGCTTGTTCTCGACTTTTTACAATTATAATAAAAATAAAAAATAAATATAACTAACTAAAAAGTCTTGCCAGATATGCCAGGGATATACAAGAAGTCACCCATGTCTCCAGATGAGAAGGAAGAATGCCCATCAGGAATACCATAATAATTAAAATCCAGTCTATTTTTATTTTTAACAGCTTCTTATAACAAAAAAAGAGAAGAAAAAAATTAACAACTCTAGTTAAACTAATCCCTTGGTCTTCTCTTTGCTCACCACTAAATACCAGGCGTGTCCAAAAGTGTGAAAAAAAAGGATGGAAAATGCCATTAGGAGCATATGTCCACCTGTTAATGGTGCACCTCCTAGTATATTTTATCCACATCTAAGTATCTGGTTGGAAGGAATACATAATTATACAATTTTTCGCAAATTTTAGCTGTGGATTTAAAAAAGAACACCTGCCATTGACAATTCCTACGTGAAAATCTAAAATTCCGGTATGGTTATTTTTCCTTACCTGTGAAATTAACATTACTTGAGAAGAAGCATAGTACGACACCCTGTAATTGCTGTTGTTCTCTGAATACCTGCAGCAATCACTGGTAGCGTATGGCACTGGCGATGGCGGATTCTTCTGCAAGTCGTCAATGGTTGCGTAACTTCCGCTCTCTGTGCTTGGGGGTCTGCCGAATCCTTGTCTCAAAAACATGTGCGGGTTGCTGTCATATAAAGCCGTCATGTATCTGAAAGTGACAAGTTTGTTATTAGGGTGATCGCCCCTTCCGGAATAAAAAATCCTCCTTAAAAGGGCGTTAAAATCTCTTCGGCTCAATTTTTCCCGTCACTTACTTTTGGGTCTAAAAACTAGACCATGATAACTACTAGATGCTTTGAGTTAAGTATTTTTTTATACATTTACAAAGGTATAGTCATAAAATTTTTATAATTATAGTGTTTGTATGATATTTTATGTAGATTTAGAGAATATGAAACTTTTAGGGCTTAAATGGTTTTGTTATTTGAGAGAACTATTTTTTCAACTCTTGTTTCATAGCAATTTTTGATGATACATCATGTCATTTAACTTTTACACTAAAACTAAACTATAATGAGATAGTAGATGCTTTCATGTATTATGTAAGAAATATTTGCAATAGTAATGAAACATTGTAGAGGCGTTTAAAATATTTTATAGAGAAAAATATTTTTTTCTTTGTGTAAATGTGGGAAAGGAGTTTAATTGACAGGACCGATCGTTATTCTATTAATCGAACATGAAGGGGAGGGAGTTAGGTCGCTTACGTGTGTTCCTGGTCTTGTTTTTTCCTCTTGATGTAATAGGCTGAAGTTATAACCACAAATAGGGCTAAGGTGATCAGAGTTAGAACACAAGCCACTGCGAAATCGGACAAACTTCCGAAGTAACTCGGGTCCAAACGGATCGAATCGTTTTGCAAATTGCCGATACCTGTAATACGAAATTTTGAAATGAGTGTTTTTATATATACTGGAGTGACGAAAAAACAGAACACCTATATACCGGGTGCGTCCCAAAAGTGGCTCACTCCTGTAACTTTTTTATTTTTTCAGATAAAAAAAACGATATTTGGTATGTTAGTACATATATGACATAAATTAGGATTGTTGTGCGTATTCAATTGTTTTTGGTTACTTCCTGTTTCACCGAAAATGACTACAACTTTTGATTTTTAAATGGTACCCTCGGTATTGTTTACTTTATTCGATAGAAAATGTCACTCTGAATAGAATGATATATCACATGTCAAATTTTGACATTTTTGCTGTAAAAAAGATCGTATTTTAAATTTCAATCTAGAGAGTGCAATGGCTGTGTTAAAAACACCAATTTTTAATCAAGGAGCCTTGGAAAAATAAACAACGGTGTCTTGTCCTGGCCAGTTAAAAGATGCCCAAATCGTATGTTTAATCATATGTCAATTTTTTCAAATGGAACGAGGGTGGCTCATTAGCATATTTGGAAAAAGCATTTTTTTACGAATAATTTGGTACCACACACTTGGTATTTCGAGTCAAATTGTCGTTATGATCCGCATGTTACAATTTCAAATAAACCATATGAGAAAATATCAAAAGTTGACATATGATATGTCATTCTAGTCAGAGTGTCATTTTCTATCGTATTAAGTAAAAAAATATCGAGAATGCCATTTAAAAATCAAAAGTGGTTGTCATTTTCGGTAAAACAGGAAGTGACCAAAAACAATTGAATACGTCAATCAATCCTAATTTATGTCATATCCTAAAGTCTCGTTTTTTTATCTGAAAAAATAAAAAAGTTATAGGGGTGAGCCACTTTTGAGACGCACCCGGTATATTTATCCGAATTCGATAATTTTTAAGTTGTCTGATAGAGCTGGAAACCTAATCGATTGCTAAGTCAGAAGCTGCCATAATGTACACAAGAATTATTAAAATGTTATGAATATACATGTTCTCCTTTTTTGTCACTCAGTATACTAAATTAAAACCAAGTTTAATTTATAATAAAACTTTACTAGTTGCAACTTTTTTGTGTGTAAGAAAGGCCAAATGTCATTGAGCAAATGAAAACGAACGCGCTCTCTTTGTCTGTGGTTTTGTTATCTTCAGCCAATATACAGTTTTAATATCCGTTCTATAAGGATCTTTACTTCTTTTTAGTCGGACGGTATAACATACAAGAGCGTATATACAGGTCCCTTAACTGTTATTTAATGAAGGTTTGGATTATTAAAATTTACTGGCGATTCTGGGAGCCTTCTTTATAGCCTTGTTTTAATTTTATTAAAGTCTATGTGGGCTACGTGTGCAGCACACGCAACTCCGACACTCCAATTCCATTCATCGAGGGCATTTTCCCAAATTAATCTAATTTGGTACCATCAATTTCTTATTAGCTAATTATTTATTGAAAACCCTTCTTCATGGCTACGGTCTAAGACTGGCTTATTTAATAAACCTCAAAATCGAAAAAAGTATGTCAGTAAAAAGAGGGTTTCCATACGTCCGAATTTTTAAGGTGTTCTGGGTGGTCCTGCTGGAATTTGAAAAAATGTTACATAATATCTACGGCATATCTGGTCAATTTTTTTGTTTTTGGTGTACTCGTGGATGTGAATTGTGAATTCTTTTGTTATGATTACGCGCCTTATGCATACAAGTTTGTTCAACGATCGATGTTGTGTCTGGCACTTTAATTCACATTTAAATTGTATTTTCTGTCGTTTTTTGAGTGCCATCTATTGAAGTCTTCCCTGGCTTGTTGGATAGATTTTAGATAATTGTATATGCACGGGTAAATTGGTTTCAAAGTATCGATATACAGGTTGTTAATTTGTTTATTACTCGCGGCAAGAGCTTTATGGTTGAAATATGGCAACCTCGGCCAGCTCGTCGAGAGACGACGCGACGCGACGGGACGAGTCGGCTTAGCTTAGTACTCATTTGGAATAGGATGGGCGAGGAGCGGTGTTGCCATTCTGTTCCCCAATAAGTAACCGTCCAGTTAACAATATGTATAGCGTGCATGTAGGAACTTCATTGGTTACTACATGCTCAAAGTTTTCTCTTCTATTAAAAAAGGATATTACAATATTGATATAATTTGTAACATATGTAGTAAAAATTATAGTATTGCTCACAAAGGAAAATGGATATACTTAACACTCACCTGCTTTTATTCTAAGTAGTCTCACCGTCTGTCTACCCAGTCAGGGAAGAATATTGACAGACGTCACCCAAACATAACAGAAAATATAATTTACCTGTGAATTAAAATCACACACAACTCTCACTGCCAATTTTCAGGCTTATTCTAGTTTTAATTTAGATAAATAAATTCATAAATTATTTTTCGACCGGATTTTGTCCGGATTTCACAGCCCATTTGTCCGGAATCTTGTATGGAAACCCTAAGTAAAAATCTATTTAGAGAATAAGTTATATCTTTTAAAAAGACAGCGACGCTCTTTAAAGCTTGAGTTGGAAACAGTTTAGAGAAAATTATTAAAAATACTATGTATTTCATATTAACGACTCGCATTTAAGGTACACTGCTTGTTTTAAAAGAACTCTAATGCATACAAATGTCTTCTGAAAAATGCATGTAAAACATTAAGGAAAAATGTTCAATATATTATGCAAAATGATTTACAGTTTCGTTGTTTTAAAGTAGAATTTTCAGACTTCTGTGTGCACCTGATACAATATAAAAATCGTTTAAAATAAAAGAAATTGAAAAAAGGGTTTTAATAAAGGATTAGCCGAAGTAAGCGTCGAATGTTTAATTTCCATGTCGTTATTTGAAAAGTAAAATCTATGCTTTAATCCAATATTAATCGGGTTTGCGAAACGTAAAGAGGGACTTTGGAACTTTTGATCCCGTAATGGGGATAGCAATTTCATTAATTAACAATGGGAAGTTTAACTGAAAAATAATTTGTATAATCCTACCTGCAGCGCGTTGAATATGACCATATTTATTGCGAAAATCTATATTCAATAAACAATTTTCATATTTATATCAGGCGCGGATACAGGTTGATAATTAATGGAAAAGCCAAATTTAATCAAAACATATCACATATACATACATTTTAATAAATATAGAACCTTTCCATTTATTATGATGAGCAATAGAAACACTTTTTTTAATCAGTCAATTAGATCGGTCGTACTTAGACGGATTGTATGATTAAAATAAGGATAAATTGAATTTTTTCCGTGATATTCCTTTTCCCCCATATAGGCGGTATTACAAAATACGCTGTCAAACATGTTTATAAGCCTTTTCCCTTTCATAATATTGAGATTCTGAGGACCCTTTTCAATTTTGATTTCAATTACGTTGGGTCGCTTTTGCGATACATTTTAGGAGAATAAGTGTCCTTCAGATTTAAATTCCTTTAAATAGTTGACAAAATTCGAATATTCCGCATGAAAACCCACTTTTCATGATTATTTTTTACTTTACTATTAAATTGTCTTTGTTGTAATGTTGCAATACGCAGTATTTTAATTATATTCGAGTGACACAGACAAGGAGAAAACCTATTTTATCAAAATTCGATATTTTTGGCTGGCTGCTTTATCTTGCCTTGAATAAAGTGATTAGGCCGCTTTTTAACGGTACCACTTAGAGCGGCCGTATTTTAGCGGTATGGAGTAACGTAAAGTACGACCGCTAATATAGGGCCGCTGTTTAACCGCTACAACGCGGTACCGCTTACATACGGCCGTATTTTGACGGCGAGCTGCGCCGCTAAAAAAGGTGTGTGTACTTCGCACATCGGTGTGTGTTCATCCGAAGCATTCGGCTCGAAAATAACGGCACCATAATTTCTGAAGCGGTCTCTCTGTACAATGGAATATTAAAAGCACTTTTTTGAAGGTGGACAGTGTTTGATTTGAACTGATAGAAAAGCAACTCAAAGCGAAAAGCGGCAGCATTTTAACGCACCGTATTTAATGTTACTTTAGAATAATATTCACCCTCAAAGCGGCCGTACTACTCGTTGGTGAAGACACGGCCGCTAAAATACTTCCGTATTTTTACAGAAGAAATGGGGAATCATAAGAGGACATCGATCAGAACTATACCCAGGCATCTCAATGACTGTGTCAGAAATCGGGAGTCAGCAACACACTATTAGCCTGGATTTCCCATTAAATTGTCTGATAGAGCTGAAAACCTAATCGATTGCTAAGTCAGAAGCTGCCTTCATGTACACCAAGAATTATTAAAATCTTTTGAATTTATATAGGTATTCTCCTGTTTATATCACTCAGTATATACTGTATCAAAATGCAGTATTTTAATTAGCTTCAAATAAATTATATTTGTTTAATTAAATTATAATAACATATTATATTAATATATGAGATATACTATTAATACTATTAATCATATTAACGCTTTGCTAATTTTATATCAATGTTGGCGTCGGACTGGATATCCTGTTTGCCATTTGCACGCATCAGGGCGCCGCTAAAAACACTTGTTGATGTCATGTTAGATTTGTTTTGACTGCGGCAATACAAGGGCCTTGTCATTTCAGCGAAAATCTAGGGAAATCCGTTCTATTCCGCATTGAAATTTTCATTAGTTTATTTTATTTCACGCCCGTACAGAAAATATTTTCTTGCCTCCAATATTTACGCGAGGGTATCAAGGGGGAGGAGGTCAAGCCGTTTTCGGGAAAAAATTGTGTAAAAATGTGAAAAAATCAGATTAATTTAAAGTATCACGTGTTTCTAGATTTAAAAATCCTCAAAAACGTATCACGTAATTAATGGACGCCTCTAACTTGATTGTTCTCTCTGTTCCGAATAGATGAGTAAAAGATTTCGTTTAACAAAGCCTGTTCAATAAAGACACAATTCCGTCGAGAATAGCTCTCGACGTCACATTATTTAACCCAACAATTCAGTTTCGCTCTCTATTTCGCTGTTAAAATCTGATAGGTGTCGCTTGTCAAGAGTTGAAATTTAAATAAACCCACTGAGAAGTCTGAGACACGGTTCAAACAAAATTCCAGACGCTTCTCTAGTAATGAAATATCACCTGGTATCGAAACGCCGAAGTTTCAGATGCATTTTGATGGAATAGAGGAGATCTTAGTGTATACAGGGTGTTACATTTTCGTGTTTCTTATGGGTTTTTTCGTTTAAAAGTAGAGGTACAAAGATGCGGTTTTCATAACAAAGTGCTTTGCAACTTTTTATGAAACTGAAAATGCTACACACAAATTTATCCAAACCTTTTTACTTCCTAAAATATAGGGCGCATTTTAAAATGGTAGAATTTTTCACGTAGAATCAAGTAACTATTTTTTGCTGCGATCTGTCATAAAACAAACATTTTTTTTTAATGTGAGACACTGTATTTTATTTCTTTTATGTTGTTTGCATTGTCATGAGCTTTCTATATACTATATATTTTTCTAAAAATATAATATACTCACTATTTATTTTCATAGATGCCAGGTAAAGAATGCATTATTTCACTTTATATGCACTGAAAAAGAACTGCTTTTGAATAATACGCTGTCATTCAGAGTTATTAGGCTCGTTCCAACAGCATCAGAAAACTGTCCAAAATAGTTAACCGAATAGTAATCTATGTTTTTCGTTCTTGGATAAAAAAAACATAACTTTGTCATATTTAATGAATGACAGCTCCCTGCAAAAATCGAGTTACGCCAGTTTTTTCGATAAGTTATAAGGTAACCAACACAAATAGAGCAACAATTTCAAATTTGCTCTGTATTACAGGAACTAGAAGAACTAGGACAAATCTAGGTGTATTGCATCTTTAGTTTCATAAAAAAAGTAGCACAGTGATGTGAAAACCGCATCTTTCTACCTCTACTCATAAAAGAAATCCTGTAAAACACACGAAAGTGGGACACCTTGTACACTCAAAAAAGAAAATGCTGGAAATTCAAAACGACATTTAAGCTGTTCTTTAATAAATTTTAAAGTAGTTTTCAATTTTAGCCTGGAAATAGAAATAGTTAACGTGTTTCTTTTTTCACTGGCACGGCTGGAAATTTTTCGTAAAATAATTCACATGCTTTCATTTAAATAGCGTTATAATGATATATCTTTGGGCTTCCCGGCATTTTGTTTTGATTCATCGGCAAAGTTTGGCCGAGAAAAATTTTCCCAACCACAACACGCCTTTAACGATAGAGGGAACAAAGAACCAAGTGCAATTTTCTAACAAAAATCTACAGAGTTAGGAACATCTCAACAAATATCACTTACCTTTGTAGCAGACTTTATTTCTTTTAAATTTTACTATGGTGGTGTTACTTTTTTCTCTTGTACTGACGAACAAACTGATGAATACTGTTATTTCGGCCGTTTTTAGACCCGTGCACATCATAGTGATTCTGGAAAATACAATTTTCCAACGTATTTACCAAAAAAATGTCCGCTAGGATACCTATCAATTTTAACCATATTCAATTAAATATACAAACCTGAATGTCTGCACAGATGTCGGAATCACACCATTTGATGAAACATTCATCTGCGGGGGCAGCAACACCCCTTTATTTCCCGGTCCATACTTTACTTCTAATATATAGGGTAACTGAAATATCAATAACTGTTAATATTCCCACCCCTATTTTATTATGCGGCTCGTAAAAACAACCCTCTAATTTTTGTTTTGACTATATCATATAAATATTTTAATCCAAAATGTTATTTTTTATTGATTGATACTTTTTTGTTAGACGGATTGACTGTTTGGTCATTTTTTTTTTCTTTACAAAACACAAAATAAGTTATTTCTTGTATTTTATCTGAGTAAACACTTGAATTGGTAATGTATCTCACAAACAAAAGCCATCCATCAGGGTGAAATGTGCTCAATTGAAAAAAGAAAACTTTTTGTGTGTTTCGGATTACCTTAAGAAAATATATTGATATAGACAGTTTTCCAGAATATCTTACATAAAATATATATTTTTTTTAATTTTAAGTTACACATATTTGTTAGGATTTTTGTTATAAATTAATTCATTTTAAGCGCCGTCTACACATAACGTTTTAAATGTCATTGGTCAGAACGTGTCAAGTCAAAGCTTTTATATCTATATAAAGAAAGGGCAGTGTTTAGTGTGATAAAGCCCCAATTAACTATAATTGGTTTGGGAGAGCAATATATACACAAAATAAGTACTGTATCGTATATTTTTTTATTGGCCAGTATTAATAACCGGACACATTTTCCGCATTTGTTAAAGTCATGTTTCCAGAAATTACAAATCAATACCTACTACTAATGCAGAGGAAAAAGCTGTTGTCAAGTGATATTAATATCGATTTTCGTATAAAAAATTGAAAACCGAGAAACTTGCGCCTTTTTACTACAGTTTTTCGCTTCTTATTTTGTAGTTTCGAGTAGGGATGTTCGTATATATCGATTCTTTGGTATTTGGTATACCTATATATCTTTATTTCGAGTTTATCGATTTCCTTATTGATACAGAGGAATTTGTTCTGAATCTGGTTTAATTTACTTCAGCTATTCACCTCTGACTTTATACTTTTGAAGAGAGATGTTTCTTTTCAAAAAATATATTGATATTTTGGTATATTTTTAATTCAAGTCTATCTTATTTCCTTCGTGATAGGGTGTACCATATTGAAGAATGTTTCATCCTATAAAATATATATCCATACTATGGTATATTTTAACCATGTCTATTGATTTTATTCAAAATACATTACAATATATTTTAAGGTTTATTGTTGTCTATCCGCACCTTTTACTACTAACTACTAATTTGCTTCTAAATTTGTAGTATTAAATAGGGATGTTTCTTTCAAAAAAGTCGATACCTTTGTCAGGGTCGCAAATCGACACTGCCTTTAAGTGTGCTCAAGCCTTTTGGGGGGACTCAGCTCACTTAAAAGGTAATATTGATTTGAGGGGGGACAATCATCAGGGCGGTGCTAATATTGAGGTTGAGGGGCTAAACACTAATGACTAATCATATCTGTTCTTGAAGATCGATTCTTAAATTTAACTATCGATACATAAAGGACAGCTCTGATAAAAAAATATTTTTTTTAAACATTTCTTTTTTTTTAATGGAACAAAGAGCATATGAAATAGTTTCGTTTTATGATCGACCCGGTTTTTGGGGGCGCCTTAAAAATTTGCCGTTAAAATTTTATGCCTGCATTTTTTTCCTTCTTCCATGCCGAACAAAGAAAAAAAACACCTTTCGGTTTTATCTATTCCATTAAAAAGCTTTTTGTATTCTCCTGTCAGAAGTGCTTATTTAGTTAGGAATATCCAGGATTTAATATTAAGGAAATATTCCCGGGCTTTTCACTGCGAACTCGTCCTGGCGTTCGCTTCAAAAGTCATATAATCTCTTGCTTTTTGTCTCTTAATCAAAACGTAAAGTGGAAAATAATATTGAATTTGCTGTATCTGCCCTGGCCACCTCACTTTTAAAAGCTTTTTTATAAGTTCATTAAATATTTACAAGCTTATGTATGAAAAATATTACCAGTTTATCCATATCGAGTAAATGATTGGGTAAACTATCGATACTTGAAAGTTAGTGGGCCAAATAAAATTGAGCTATAAAGTAGATTGTATCTATAACCTTGCAACATTGATAGAAGGCATAAACATAAGCCCTAGCCGGGTAGATTTCTCACGGATGGCCATAAAAGTCGGGATTAGACTTTAACTCTTTTGATTTAGGCCAAATTATTTACGATACACACTAATAATCCGTTTCTGGAGATTAATAAGGAACGGCCTATTAAATTTCAGTCATTTATATTCCTTAAAAGTGAAAATAATGTCTTAATAATCATTAATTTTTTGGGCAAAAAATAAAAGTAGAAATTAAATACACTAATAGGGAATGTCGAAATTAAAAAAATATCGATATTTTGTGTCTATATGCTGTGTGTGTTCTATACTATATACTCTCACACTCTATCAATTTATTAATGAAACATTTATAACAATATAATCCATACGAAGTTACTCCATAATTTTTTTGAATAAAGTTCATTTGAAGTAAATCTCAATATCTTATATGAGTACCATATTATGTCTTTTTTCAGGAATTGCTTGTAATTTTTTTTGGATGGATAATTTTAAGTTAACTGAAAAATCTTAATTTATAAACAAACAGAATGAATTGAACAAAATAAATTGGCACAGAGTGTTTTGTCACCTGCAGTTTCCTTAAGTGTCCAGGTTTTGCATTCATAGGTCATGCCTAGTAGTACACATTGGTCAAATGTTTTCTTCTTTAGATAAAGTTGCATTCTATATTTGAATATGATTGAGTTTCTTCCATATGTACTCCATGCCAACTTAATTCTTCTGTTCATTTCTGGTGGTAGAGACGTAGAGATCCTGAGCTATGTATTAGTTTTTTCCTAAGTATAAATATATAAATTCTCCTACTATTTCTAGTGTGGTGTTATTTATTAGAATGGTTTTTATGTCTACTAGTTCCTTGTGTGTTACTTTAATTTTAGTAAAGCCCCTTACATTACATTCAGTAACGAAGGTTAGCAATACATTTTTTATAGTTCTTCCTTTGACTGTTTATGAATTTCAATTTACTATTTACAAAGCAATCGAAATATTATTGGAAATCGGACTGGGTTCTTTTGAATTTTCTCTAGCTTAAAAGCCAATAGCAAATTAAAACTCTTGAAACCTTTTTTTCAATTTTATCGCTATATTTTCCATTTTCACTACGCAAAAGAAAATCATTCGGTCTGCGTTGACTTATTTTACAGAGAAAATTTTATCTCCACGAAAAATCATGGCCTTCTTTTCAATTTAAAAATGATATTAGGTTTGGGTATAATTTTACAAATACTTCTAATTTATTATCTTCAAAATAAATACGTGTTAATACGAAATACAAAGGAATTTATCAAAAATAACATTAATGTGTGTTAATTAATTGTACGACCATAGAGAAGGAAAAGCTATTATTATTTAATTTTAACCCCTTTTAAAAATTTTAAGATTCGTTTAATTTTTTCCCTTTTGCTGTCTAATTGAGACATTTTTTGTAATTTGGAGTCCATTACGATCCAAAGAAAGAAGCATTTTTACAATTTGCCTGTTTCATTGTTCCAAATTTCTCAGTCTTTTCCCTCCGGAACGTTAATTACAATTAGAAACAAAATCCTTAATAAAATTAATTACATCCTTTATTGACTTATAGCCTGGAATCAGGAGAAATATATTATTATTCTCAACACACATTATTTGGGGTACGAAAAAAATAGGAAAATGATCCTGCTTACAAGGCAATTCTCTAAAAAAATATACCTAAGTCCTCCTTTGTACTAGTATCAAAGAAGTATTTTTAGACAAGTGCCTGATGGGTAATTAATGAGATGAAGAAGCCTTTTTGTGAAATTTTCAGTTTCCTTAACCCGTTAAACATTTATTAACATTTGAGTGAGAACATCCCACAAATATCGAATGTCATTGGAAGTTAAAGCATTTCTATTATTAATTAATTTATATTGCTAATTAATTTTAAATTGGATTAAATTACTGATATCGTCTGTGAGTCGTAACACGGCACCGAAATGAATTCTAATCATTGACAAAGGTTAATTAAAACCCAAAATAAGCAAATGGGAATTAATTTTTAACGGCAGAGCGCCGGGATCGTGTTTATCCATTTACTATTCTTGTAATTGAAGAATTCCGTGTAATTAGAACCTAACAGCTCCCCTTTCTAAGAAAATTACCAATGGAGATACAAAGCAATGGAAATTAATCAAATAATTATTATTTCATGAAATCTCACGGCTCGTTTTTGGAGATGCTTTTTCATCGGCTTTGGGGGGAGGGGGGTTATTTAATTAAAAATTCTGAAACTATACATCTTGGCGCTTTAATTTTTCATTCTCGTTAAAGAACCCACCCTGGCTCGAAGCAGTCCAAATATTGTACAAATTAGTTCTTCCTCAAACTAAAAGATTCACTTCCTTGAAAGAATCCCTTAGCCTCGTCTAAGATAAAATTTTACTTGTATAGATTTCGTATGAGAACCACACAGATAGAAATAAGCAGACCATAAAGGTCGTAACACAATAAAATTTAAGAAAAAACTCATAGACGTATTTCTGAGGTGGAAATATACTACCCCTCAATATATTTGCACTTATTTAAGGCTCACCCTGTATATTATATTAAATATTATTCCAAAGAGGCATTAATTATCGGGTATTTATGCACAAGAACTTTTCTGTGGCTACAAATAATAAGAAACGGTGAGTTTTACGCGAAATAATATAACAAAGGAGAATAAGTGAAATAGTTTAGCGAGAATAGAATTATTTACGAGGTTGTTTATGAAAAGCTGCTTTTCCTCAACTTTGCCGAATCCTGAGAAGTATAATAGATAGGGAAAGTCGCTTCAGGACTACAATCAACCTTTTGATTTCCTCTCTGGAAACGTAGTCGCCGGTTCAAAGGACAAAGTGTTTGTTTTTCTAATAATACCACTAGGTCAGATTTCTGTTTGTCTCTTCTTTTATCCCTCCCAGGCATTGTAACAAACATCTTGGGTCATT